TCTCATGGTAGCAGAAATGGGGAAACTAAAGCTACCAAAAGATTTGACAAGTAAGTTGCAGCAAAAGTTCATCTCAAGATGGTAGTAGAGGAGATGTCACTATTCGAAGCTGAGAAGGTATAGAAAGATATTATGAATATATTTTTGAGTATCCAGAGTTGCCAAGGTCCTTGAATCAGCAACATACCTCAGGATTTCCATATATTCTAAGGATGCAGGTGACTTAATACAACACATGAGGATCAAGGTCCTTGAAACAGCAACTTACCTCAGGATTTCCCTATATTCTAAGGGGAAAGCTTTCTATGTTCCCCCTACAACATAGAAGTTCTATCCTGCCCCTACCATCTAGCCGTCCATTTTTTATCAAGAGAGCCACTCACTGTTTGATCTTAGATCCAACGTCTCAAAGTATTTTATTTTTTGTTTTTTTTAATACAATTTTTCTGAATATGAAATTTGGTACGTACCATCTTCTCATTGGGGCGCACCTATAAAAAATATTAACAATAATTTTTCGATAAAAAATAATGACCAAAATACCCCTTGAAACTTTCAGGGTATTTGGTAATTTTATTTTATTGAAAATATTTTTTATATATTTTTCATTAGTGCGAGTTTAATAGAGGAATGGACATCCAAAATTTGGTGTCAAAACAGTTCATAGAAAAAAAATTAAAAATAAAACAGTGTAGAGAAGTGACATTGTGATTGGGGCAATCTTAGCCCCCCATTCAAAAATGGACGGTTGGATAAAGGGGAAGATAGAACTTCCATGTTGTAGGGGGAACATAGAAAGCTTTCCCTATTCTAAGGATGCAGATGACTTAATAAAACACGTGAAGGATCGAAGGGAGTTTTGCCCTGAGCTGGGTCCAAAAGTAGAACGATAGAGCACAAGTAACTTTCCAAAGAAAAAAAAAGAGTAAAGAAAAGAAAAAGCATCAAGAAGGGAATTCAAGGGCTCCTAAAGAACGTGGACAACGATATGTTGGTCAAAATAAGGAAATATTACAAAAAGTTAGGATCAAGGAGGGAATGCAAGGGCTCCTAAAGACAGTATACAGTGATATGTTGTCAAAGTATGGAAAGATTACAAAAAGCTAGTCACATAAGAGAGGACGGAGCAACTAACCATGATCATTCTAGCTAGATATATCTGATAGCATGATAAAAGGGTCTATAATATCATGCTTTTTCCATTGGCATGCTATGATTTCTTGTCCTATTTTTATTGATATTGCAGTTCTATGAGTTCCCTACTAACATAACATCAGCCATGAACAATATTATAAAAGTTTAGGCTTTAGCAACCATACCCATGTCATGCTGTGCCAGTGTTATAGCATTCATATAACCAAGCATGGATGTAATGTGAGTTTATCATAGATGGAGCAAAACAACCTTTTAGAAGAAATGGCAGAATTGCCAACATGCAGCTTTTTGTGCGCATAACTGGTGGGATACTTAGAGCATACATCGGCAGCAAAATGCATGGAACCACCAGAAAGCCTTTGTGGATAAGACCACCTAAAAGGCACCACAGATTTCATTTTCACTACTCACATGCAACAGATAATGCACCAAATGAGCAATTGCTATTTCTCAGTGAACAAAAACTGGCCCAATGCAATTAAAATGTGAAGATCTTTTCAATGGTACCTGCTTAAACCTGATATTCACTCACTAATGAGTAGAATATCTTTAATAAATGAGCAATGGAACCCATCTTCTTCCAAGTCTGGCAATACATGCCAATCTAGTTTCAAATTGGACCATCTTAAGTTTTTTTATTGGGAGCAACTTTTAGCAAAACATAGAACACGTACAGCACAGAACTAAATAAACATAGCAAAGAAAAGAGGAGACAAGTATCATCCTGAAATTAAGAGATGACAATAATGAAAGACATTGCTAATCAACTATGTCCTAAGAGAAAGCATCCTTCAAACTTCGGTAGACATAATCAAGGATCCACTCACACAGGGAAAATATCTCCTCATATACGGAATCCACCAGCCAACATGGTGTCTTCTTACAAACACCAGCTTAATGCAATGAGGTGATTTCCCTTCACTTCAACTGGAGCACATCAAGAGATAAAGATAAGGAAAGGCCCTTCAACAAAGCCCTTGCTTATGGCATTGTAGAATCAACAACATCCAACAGCCCCAGACATTGTTCTAAAAGGTGGACCGCCCAATGCCTAGGCGGTCCAGAAGGCCTGGGAGCCTCACCCAGTCCTAGGTGGAAGCCTAGGCGCTTGGGCACCCGCCTAGGGGTGGAAATGCCCCTCGTTGAGGAATATTTTTGGGTTCTTTTGCAAAAATAAGCGGGGAAAATGGTCGGTTTTAGATTCATTTCAAACCTAAACCCTATTAGAACCCATTTTAGAGAGAGAAAATCTCAAAAAACTAGTTTTTGTGATTTCCATTTGATTTCCCTAGATTTTTGAGGTTCTTTCTATTGGGATGCCTAGGTTCTGGGCGCCCACCTAAGCACTGGGCAGCCTGGACCCCCAGCCGCCTAGGCACTACCGGCATTTTCGAAACACTAGCCCTAGAGATGCATAACCAATTGGAGCCACAACCAACTATTTGTCCTAGGTTGCCCTAAGATGGTAGGTCAACATTAAGCTCATAAGCTGCCTTAAGCCAGCTAATCCACCTAGCCACCTCTTCAGGATAGTCACTGCCAAGACTAACCACCCCTTTCCAACTAGCCAAGCAATCAGCAATATGAAAATATACCACTAGGAAAAGTAAGGAATAACTATCCCACATATTTCATTATAGAGGAGAGCAGTTAGGGGGCTCACCACTTTAGATACCAACCATTATGCTCTTTCCAAATGCCCAACAGGATACTAAATAAGCTTCCAAAGGGTGCATCCTCTAGCAAGAAAAGGCTTGAAAACTCCAGCCCAAAAATAACTCATCCACCTTCTGTGGCATCCCCAAACTCTCTAGAAGTCTTTGCAAAAGAGGACAACACTAAAGCAACTACTAAGCAATGCAAAACAATATGTTTGCATCTCCCTTCCCGAGATAAACATTTTGGGCAAAACACAATGCTGAAGATGTTCAATGACGAGTAAAATCTCCAAGCATGCTGCCCACCCACCAAAAGCTTTAACTCTAGGTAGATACCGAAACCATTCGAGCGTGCAAACGATCACCCCAAAACATATGATGATTGGAAGAAAGAGTGAATCAAGAAGATCCCACTACTTTCCCTCCTTCAACAACCACTCTAGAGGGAAAGTGGACTTCCCCCAAAACATCCAAAAGCACCACGAGAGATGCAATCTCCAATTCATTTTAACGGTCAGGTGAAATCTCCAAGCTCTAGAAAGTCGACCTGGAACCCAATGTCCACACAAGCTTATTACGTCTCCTCACATAGAAAGTGTGTCAAGACCTCCAGGGCAACAGCCAATCATAAATCACCCAAAAAAGAAATCATGCTTCCATTCTCAACTAGGAACCTGAAAACCCTATCAAACTCTCTAAACATCCCACAAACCTCTCTTCATGCTCCCAAGATTGATCCATAAAATAGCATCCCTAGCTCTGGTTCTATTTTTCCCCAAAATGTCCAGCACCCAAAGACCATCCTTCTCCTTCTAGTCTCCATAACCACTTGGCACTTACTCGATAAAGCCTCATGAGCTTCCTCGATCTCCTAAATCCCAAAACCCCCACCCTTTAGGCTGACACACTAAATCCCCCATAAGAAGACATTTATGCCCCTCCCTACCCACTCCTCAAAGGAAATTCCCCTACAGCTTCTTCAGCTTTGCATCCAGCAAAATAAGCATATGAAGCATATAGTAGAGGGACATGAATTAAAAGGGGAGATTGGCAAGAGTATCATTAATTAGTATCATCCTCCCTCCAAGGATAAAAAGTTTCATTTCCAAGAGATAAGACAGTTATTGACCAGTTCCACACTTGCTGTCACAACTTTTGTTTAGTGCACCTACACCATGTAGGAGACTCAAGTATCTGAATCATAAAGCTCCCAATGAGGGATGTAAGCCTCTCATCATCCACAAACACCACATAAAATGAAGTTATAATTTGATTGATATTAAAGCATGGAGAATGAACCTAAATTCACCCACCTGCTCCATAGTGGCATCACAAAAAATAAGAGTGTCATTTTCATATTTGGTCCAACCATGCACCCTAAAGCCACTAAAGGGGTCCAAGCACGTAACTCTCAATTGACCCACTCAATGATTCGTTGATTCAGTTATTATTTCAAACATGATATGAGATGGGGGATCTCCCTATCTGAGGCCTCCATAGTAATCCAAGAAGCCTTCCAAGGATGCATTGATCAGGCAAATGACAATAAAAAATGAACTATAAAGCAAGGAAAAAAAAAAATAAAAAAATAAAAAAAAAAGAAAGACGAACTCCACAATTTTGTTTCCAAGAAATCAAAAAATGGTGACTTTACAGACAACCTCTCAAAGTTTGGACCGAGATCATACGTCCAATAATGCAGTCCCCCATGTAAGCATACACTCCCCAGCATAGAATGACAAAAAAACCACGACAACAATGCTGATCCACTTTATATGAGCTTCTATTAGTAAAGATAGTGCCGCTGCCAAATACATTGCATAAGGGCATAGCTAAAAAGGGCATAACATTTGGAGGTAAGAAATTCGCAATATGATTGTTCTTACGACTGTCCTGCTTCGAGCCCATGAATTTCATTCTTTGCACCAATATTAGCGAACAGCAAAAATTCGACCTTGGTTATAATGACAAAGAGTAACTAACTGGAAATTCTTGTGCTATAAAGGAAAGCTTCCACCACAGAGCAAGAAAAGCACAAAATATTCATCTACAAATCAAAGTATTGCACAAACACTACGAAATAAACAGCGTACCTACAATCAGCATAACATATACCAACTAATTATTCATTTCATTTGCACATAAACAACATTATGATCAAGAAGGCCACTGTAAATGGAAAAATACCTTGGGGTTTTCCTTAGTGCAGAGGTCAGCTAGGACACGATGAAGGGCATCCGCGCCCCCGCTGGTGTTGAAACGAGCTGAAGGTCCGGAAGATGCCATGGCTCGGGCCCTCCTTTCCTCTGGTTCAGGCCTTTAAGAAGACAGCCTCATCACATGGCTCGCTCCTACTTTTACAGAAATGGATTCAACATTGAGAGAGAAAATGGGGAGTAGAGAGAGAGAGACAGAGAGCAGAGAAGGAAATCGACGCTAGAGTAGAGACAGAGAGTGATGTCGGGAGAGAGCGGGGGGCGGGTATTAGAGAGAGAGACAGAGGACGGCGCCTTTCAAGCGTTCTATCGAAGAGCTCGGGACCTCAAGAGGATCTGTACTCTTTTCCTTTGGAGAAAAGAAGGCCTTTTGCAACAGTTGCGGCTCCCGACGCCGTGAGTCTTGGGCCGGTCGGGTTCCGGGGTAAGAAATTTCGAGAGCTCAAAAAGCAGCGCAGATCAAATAAATTGATGGATATTTAAAATTTTAAAAAGTATATAGTGACCATTCTGTGGATTCAAATTTGATTTGTTTATCTCTATGCAGCCGGCAATGATCAAGATGTCTCAGCATTTGAACAACTTTTCTTTTTTTTGTGGATTTTTAAAGTGTTTATTACTAAGAGTTTAAGGTTAAGATCTTCTATGAACTTTCTTTAGGATTTAAGACTAAAGCAATTGCCTCTTTTTAAACAAAATTTTGAACCTTTCTCTTTGGTAAATTAATTGCAAAATATTGGAACCTCTTAACGCAATCTTTCCGATTTTAAAATTCTCTTTCTATTCTTGATGGCACTGCCATGGACTTAGCAGGTTTGCCACAAACCCAATAGGTTCGTACCGGTGTTAGAGGTGCTAGAGGGGGCAAACAACCACCATGGATGTATTAGATCCGTTATAGTTGTAACAACAAGGATGTATCAAGTTCGTAATGAGGGCAAAATGGGTATTATTAAAGAAAGGTCAGAAAAATGAGTATGAGTATAAATTGAGTGAAATTTTGGTATATCTTAATCTTCGAGAGATGTATCTAATAAATTCTTTGAAAAAAAATGAACAAAAATTTCCTTCAAGTTTTAGGGGTGTTTTGATAATTTTCATCATTATAAATATTGCTTATTATTTTTATGATGTGCACCCCGGTTAGATGTATGTTTTCCTAATAATTGGGGTTCGCTACACAAATACTGGTCCGTCATTCTATTCTATTTAGGGTCATACCCTTGGTGAGGCCATAAGTCCCTATATTTTTTTCTGACTACTTCCAACCAAACAACCACTTTCTTTTGTGCCTACCTCTTGACATTTTCAATCATTCCACTTGAACTAACTCGTACCTCCTAACAGTTGTTGTACTGGTTCGAAGCCACACATAACTTGCCCACCTAAGTCTACTCTATCTCATCTTATTGCATATTGGTGTCACACCTAAACTTTTCCCGAATGGATTCATTCCGAATGATATCCCTTAATGTCTTGTCACTCATCCATCTCAGCATCATCTTCTCCACTACACTCATTTTATGGGTATATTTGTTTGTTCGCCCAACATTCTGGCTGGTCTCACAATTGCCTTATAAAACTTACCTTTCAGCTTCATTGGAATGCGGAGATCACATAAAATTCTAATTGCACATATTCACTTCGCCCACCCAACTCTAATTATAAACTAATATATATATATAAAAATTTAAAATAAAACATTTGAGCCATAATATGAAGATCGGATCCTCAAAAGCCAACTCTAATCAAAATCTTTACATGTTGGTGGATTCATATGTAAAGCTTACTCAAAAAGAAATGGGTATGGGAAAACTAATCTCAATCCTTAAAGAATGGGGATCCAGAGGGGCCTCACGTGGGTAGCTCTTTATAAATAGGTTGGTTTAGATTGAGGAAGTGGGTATCTCTTTACTTACCCCAAAAAAAAAGCGGGTATCTCTTTATATATATGTTGGTTTAGATAGAGGAAGTACATATGGAGAGAAGAGATTGCATCCAAAAGAGACAAATATGGATGAGTTTTCTTATGGTTTGAGCGAAAAATATTGTTTTATAGCTTATGAGAGAAAACTTGTAACTTGTATTATTTTTGGCGTGCATTGTGTTTTTTTTAATAGTAAGCGAGCAATTTGTTCCCCGTAGATGTTGCCAATTGCTATATCACATAAACTTCTATGTTTTGCATTTAAATTTTTTTTTTTATACAATTCCATTCCTTTTGCTTTTTACCAAATTTTGGTTTTTAACCTCTAAAATTGCAATAAAAACTCTAGGGCTTGAGATCCTTTTTGGGTATGAGGTTTTATCGCATATCTTTGAAGTGGCTAGCGTAAATGGTTCGAATTTCCCATTCTGAAAGTTGAATATGTATTTAGTGCTAGTGAAAGTTGTAATTCTAGTGAAAGTTGGCTTTTTAGTGGGCATTGAAAGACAAAGTAAAAAGATCCGAAAAGAGGGATGGAGAGGAATTTGATAGAAGAATTAGTTGGTGGTCTTTAGATGAAGCTATTTCATTCAATTTTTCCTCAGGAAAGTCGTCAATGATTTATTTGATAAACTGAAAATACTTATGAAGGTAAATCTCTTCTTAATAAAATATTTTTTGTCAGCACCTTTCTAATCCCAAGATGAGTGATTGTGTTTCGATGCAAAGGCTCTTGAATGAGTTCAATACCCTAATTTGTAAGTTGATGGTACTGGATGTGAAAATCGATAAAGGCTATTATTTTGTTACATGCAGAAATCATCATATAGGCTAATCATAAATCCCATTAACACAAAATCTCTTGAAATTAACTAGTATCTACACACTTATTACAGAGGAATCTGGACAAAAATCTAATCAAGGATCCTCTGAAATGTGTTTGTAGCATATGGTATATTAATGGCAAGAACTATAGGAAGGATTTAGTCAAGATTCACATTGACAGGGTGTAGGAAAGTTAATTGTTTTAGCTGTGAAAAAATAGGTTATGTGAAGAAAGATCACAAGATACAAAGGAAACTAAGAGGGCTATAAATTTGGTTTTAATGAAAAACTTCGTTCAAGTTAGTCTTAATAAAATCTAGTAGAAGAAATTAAATGTTTTAAGGACGGGGGAGTTCATCAATGGATGGGAAAAATTTTTTACAGTATTGGTTACTTGATTCAGGTGTATCCTTTCACAATTCTATATAGGGATTGATTGTATAAATACTAATCATGTAAGTATTATTTATATGGGAAATAATGATTGTAGACTTAAGGTGCTTCTCGATATAAACGTCATTCATTGTTTAAAATATCTTAATTTAAAATTTTTTGTTAGGCTTGTTTGGAAACAATAAATTACACTTTGCGTTGTCCACAACCAGATGTAATTATTTTTTGAGTTGGTTCACTCGTATACAAAGACATCACCTAATTTTTCTATGTGGATGCCACTTATTTTGCCATTTTCATTAATGATTTGTTTAAGAAAAATGTGGATTTATGTGCTAAAAAGAAAAAAAGATCTTCAATTGTTTCAATAAGTTTAAGGTCTTGATAAAAAATAGAAAAGACACGAGCATCAAGTGTCCAAATACTATTCATGCAAGAGAAATCTGTTTTGATAAGTAAATTTTATAGTGGACTTCATATTAATAGACAGTTTACAATTCATGGGATACCTTTACAAAACGAGGTCGCCAAGACTATAAATCGTACCATAATAGGATGTGCTAGGTGTATATCGAGTACCACTAGGTTGGAGTAGTGTTTTTGGTGAGTAGCAATTCGAACGGTTTTTTCTGTTGGATTCATCATGTGAGTCCTAATGCAATGGAAACACAAAAACATATGGGTTGGATGGATGTTACATAACATTTTCAAATCTAATTTCCTTATTGCGGTTGGTGCAATTCCTATCTTTTTTTTTTTTTTTTGTGGGCTCCTTCAGGTTTAGAGTTGGATGCCTGAACCTCATGTAGACTTTTAATTACAAGATCTAAAAGTCCAATATACACCACAAATCTCAAGCCTTTGATAAAAAGCTTAGGAGCTCTTGAATCACCTATACACATTTTATTTTCTAGGGTTTCTGGAGTGATGAAACTAAGAGGGAGAGGGATGTCTTGGTGTAGAGAGAGAAACCCTTTTTGAAAGGCACACGAATCTCACTAGAAATTCTCTACCTTTTCTCTCTCCTAACCATTTTATGTAGAAATATCTCATGATTTCTATCCAAAGATGAGTTATCTTTTCTATTTTGGATAATATTGTATTTAGTCAACCTTATGCTCAATTAGAAATCCATGTCACATAAGATTCTTTTTATCTTTCACTCTACCTTGAACAAGTTTAGTAATGCTATGAACGTCCTTCTCTCTATCAACCATTAAAAATATTACAATTTTCATGGAGATCGTTGCACCCATAAGCGGCGGACTTCAAATCCAATATCTCCTCCTCGTCCCGCAGTGGGCGTATGAGAAAAACGTTAGTCCATATAATCATCATCTAGTGATTCATCAAAATACAAGAATTCTCTCACACTTTATTGGCAAATGCAGTTTGAGATCTTAGGGAGCAATAGATATTTGCAGAGAGAACCACACTATATCTTCATCATACTAACGTCAATTATCTCTGCTCTTTGATTGAAAAATGTTTCATCTTACGCTAGATACATTTGGTTACACAAGATTGAGTATCTCAACAAATCCCTCACGAGCTACATGTGTTCAAGAGACTACTCAACTCTTTTTTGCACACATGCCCAATTCATACATTAAATATATTTTTCTCATGCAAGCCAGTAATTCATTTGCAAATAATATATTATATAATGTTCATAGATTCTTGAAAACATTTTGCACAAGAACATTGTCTAACAAAAAATCCTTTAACATTATTGTGCAGTTAATGAGAGTTATGTTGTGTATTGGTTATATGGGAGCCAACTATAGTGTGAAGCCAATAGTCTTTCCTTGGCCCTATTATTATCCTACTCCTATTTGACTATTTCTCTAGCCCTGCTCCCACCCAACCGATTCATACATAACCATGAGGATTATATATTAAAGTAGCAACATCAAGCATCCCCTTCCTACTATAGTCTCAGGCCAAGGTCACTATGACCACTAGTTGTTTCTCGCATGGTGTAATAAGAAATATGGATCGTCTTATATATCTCTCTCTATAAAGTAATGGCAGTCTGGCTAAGTACATGCGGTATGAGTGACATGGTGTAACTGATAAACAATGTGATTTCCTCCCAATGACATCTCACGTAGAGTGATAACCAATCTCAACGTATAATGTCTTTCTATGATACTTGGGATCTTCTATAAAAGCCAATGCCACCATGTTGTCATAGAACATGCTCACACGCTCTCTAGCACTCAATAAGATTCCTAAGGTTGTAGGATCCTCATAAACCACACTCCCTTTTGTAATGCTCATATCAATGCAAGTAGTGTAATGTCATGTCGGAGATGCCACTCACATCACTTTCTTATTGCACCAAGAAATCACTTCCACTCCAAAGAACTGAGACATTTCCAACCATCAATAATCTAGATCACCCATCTAATGAGACTTTTCTATCATCATAGTTAAATATCACTTCCCATAAAGATCTACAAGTAGTGTACATTTCTCTAGGGATATCTGAGTATTACATTCATAGCCTACAAATATTCGGGACCTGTAGTGACTTGACAAGTCCAATGACACATCCTGTTGCCATAAGGCTGCCTACTATGTTAATGTACGGCACGCAAATCTTCTTATTTATTACCCTCAATCTATGGACTAAGATTCAGATTAAACGAATGACCCTTTTTTAAAAGAGTACTAATGAAGCCACCATGCATCTTAATTTATTATAAGATTTTCCTAATACATGTCCCTTAAGACAAAGTTAATGAGCCCATTAACATGATTGTGCTTGATGTCAATATCAAACATTCGATGTGCATTGCCCACTTTCTTTACATCAAAATTAGAGGATGACTACTTCTCATTAATATCAATCATCTCCTTGTCATTTATTGCCATTAGGCTCTTGATGACGGTTCCTTATTGAGGAATGTTATCTAAAGAATCATATGGCGGTCGAGCTCCAGAGGTTTTGATAAAATAGAATCTTAATATTCAAATTTATTTAAAATATATTTCATTATTTTTATTGGTGCATAATTTTAAAAGAAGAGCAGTGATTCACTGTAGTGGGTGTACCATAGTATAATGCCACGACACTTCTAGAAAATCATGTTTGTGGTATTTGTATGACCCTAAATTTTGCACACATACTCTTTTCATCTCAATAATCAATCCTCGAACCAAAAAAAATTCAATTTGAACCCCAGTTATGGTCAAAATGAGTCATCTCCAAAAAGAAATCTAGACCATTCATTTTGTAAATTTCAATACCTTAGCTTTTATAAATTCAAAATCATTTTTTTTCTTTTTTAACATTGTTCATCTAATGATAATAAAGCCATCCAAAAAAATTGGAAATGGAAAAATCCTTTTAAAGTTTAGATCTAAGTATCTCACTAAAATGAACAGCTTATGTTAATTGGGCTAAAAAAATACTTTCTAGGTTGTGTTTTCAATTTTTTATTTTTTTGTGATTATTCATTAGAATGAAAAGAGTGTATATTTCAAAATTTGAATCAAACATATGGCCATAAGATGGTTTTTTAATGTTATTGCATCATATTACTATACAACGGTTGAATGATATCATTGCTCTCCAAAGAAATATACATCCCACAGGTAAAAAATAATTATTAAATTACACATAAAAAATAAAAAACGAAATAAATTTCCGACCGTTACCATTAGATGGGACAAGGTGCTCGCCCATCGTTCAAGCGTCCACCCGTCCCTTCATCTATATTGTATACTATATACTACACCAATTCTACTGAATCGACCGAAAATTTGAACCCGCGCCGAAATCCACCGCAATTTTCGAAGCGTTCCTCTCTGCCCCTTATCCCCGCTCCCTCTCTTGTGAACTTAATAAAGAGTCGGGGCCGAAATTCAAAAGCAAAATGGCTTCCTCTACCGCTGCTACAACTTCAGGCTTTTGCCCGTTGATTCCGAACCGTCGATTAGCCGGGTCTCCGCTTCATGTCTTGATTTCCGGCCGTCGATCAAAGCGGCAGCGCCACCACCACCGCCGGTGCGTGATAACCTCTGCACAGCGGCCCACATGGCTTCCAGGCCTCGATCCCCCACCTTACCTTGACGGCACGTACGCCTCTCTCTCTCTCTCTCTCTCTCTACATTCAAGAAGGATTACGAGCACATTTTGACCTTAAATGTAAGACTGCACCAAAAAGTCGCTGGACTACCTATAAAAAATTGTTTTTTTCCACAGTTAGGTGATGAACTCTCTCTCTCTTCATATAATAAATATAAATTTTATTTTTTATTTTTATTTTTTTTTGTGGTTGTATAGAGCTTGAGGCTCTAAACAATCGAAATAAAACGCATCTTTAAATAGTATTGAGAAATATGATTTCAATACTTAAAAAATTGACGATCTAGATATGCGTTACAAGAGCTACTATTTTCAAATTTTTAAATCTATTTTTTCCTCCTGTTCATGTATTTTGATATCGAGATGATCAACTTCAGGACATTTGAACATGAAAATAATTGAAATTTTTGAGATAAACTCTAATTTGATTGTTTAGAGAGTGGGCTTTTTATAAACCTTTTCCTATTCTAGATAACCCCTCCCTCCTGCAAAGCCGATGAAAACCCCGTAAAAGCTCTTCTTTCTCTCTCTTTCTCACCGATCAACCTCATCTTTTTCTCACTTTCACTTTCAACCCGAACCTGAACCCAAACCCGAACCGAAACCCGAACTCATATTTGTCTCTCAATCGTCACAACTAAGCTAAGGGATTGTATACAATTACATAAGAGGGCTGGCTTGAAACTTCACTCGTGACCCATTAAACACAAAGGCCTCTAAAGTAACTAAAAAACAGATCCATTTGTTAAAAATTGCAGCGGGCTTGGGAAAATCAACCAGTTGGATCGGATCGAAGAGTTTATGGGTTTTTTCGTTTGTACATGAAAGCCGGGCAGAATTGTATATAACAAAACTTTTTATTTTTTGGTACAAGGAATTTACAATTATTTATAAGTTATAATCATATAATGGTAAATTTGATAGCTTGGGTGTATCATAAAATTTGAAAAAATACCTTTAAAACTTTGTAATTGGTCAACGAAATAAATGTAACCACCAAATTTTATAAAGTATTATATATATTGAGACTACTTACCTTTGGTACAATGAAGTTACAATTAACAATTACATACAATCTGCTTAAATCTGATAGCTTAGGTCTGTGACAAAATTTTGAAAAAATTTCTTTTCAACTTAGAACTTGCTCAAAGTTCTAAGTTTATATTAAAATTTACTGTAACCGCATACTACCGAAGATAATAATATTTATATGCTTTCCCTTAAGGAAACCAGGGGATTTTTTGGGAATATAATTTTAAGGGGTGTATACGTCTTCCCCCTCGGTGTTTATCTTTTATTCCTGATGGGGGAATCGCTAGGATGGAGTAGGATGTCTGGTTTTGAGATCAAATTTTAAGTTTAATGGAAACAAAGGAAATGCACCATTAATTTGTGTTTGGCAACCAAAAGCACTGTTTCAATAAAAACAGATTAGCGAAGAGAGACACTGTGAGGGCTTGTGAAAATTGATGATCCAAATTGTCACCATGACTACTGTGTGCTTACATCCTTGACCTTCTTTTGAGCTAATTGCACTTTGCAGGAGACTCGTGGCAAATAACCACGAAATATATAATTCTGAGAAATTCCATTCATCTAGCAGTCAGCTAATCATATTTGTTTTTTGTTAGTCTCGCCGGAGATTTCGGGTTTGATCCTTTGGGCCTTGGAGAAGATCCCAAGAGTTTGAAATGGTATGTGCAGGCAGAGCTTGTTCATGCTCGTTTTGCGATGGCAGCTGTTGCAGGAATACTTTTAACCGATGTAAGTCACTGAGGTTATTAGTCTTATAAATATCAATCACATGATCACTCACGCATATGAATTTATATTTTTAAAGTCTTGCAACACATCACTAAAGTTAGATATGGGTACATCATATACATATAAAGGAAAAAAAAAAAAACTGTACTTTTAAGTTCTTTAAGATCAACAATGTTCTTCAAGTTCAATAATGTTTATGTTGAAGTCTGGAAACATGTCATAGCACTTTAAGATGGATATGGGTACATCATATCGAATTATTATTTTTAGTGTTTGGGTGCATCATATCACATGCCAAAGAGAATCAGTACTTTTTAAGTTCTTCAAGTTCAGTAATGTTTATTGCGTAAAGAAACGTTGGGGTAGCTTGAAGACCTTCATTTATTTCAAGTGGCTATAAAATCTAAGACTTTACTTGCCATCTGTGAGTGTCATACACTTTTGCATTTGTCCTTCTAAATGCATTTACATGTGCTGTAAGCACTGACTTGATGTATTTTCTTTGCATTGCAGTGATGATTCTCATTTGTCCTTCTAAATGCATCTACATGTGCTGTAAGCACTGACGATGTATTTTCTTTGCATTGCAGTGATGATTCTATGTGTTTAATTTTTATGTAGTACTTTTTAGGTAAAGGCAGATGTTTATAATTAATCCAGCATAACTCATGCTTATCATCATAAACATGCATCTTAGTTGGAATTACATGGACATTAGAAGGCAGAAAAAAGAGTACAAACAATCATCTTTGTTTTACATAATTATTGCAAAAAGGAAGGAAAGAAAAAGGCATAGTTTGTTGCCATCGCCATGCCCGTGTATCATATGATGTGCTAGCTGGTATGTCCAAGTACATGAAAACTTATTTACACCAGTTCTTGTAGTGGATCTGGATCTTTAATTGTCCCTTTCTGTGAGTAGTTTATATAACTTCCTATAGGGTTCTCGTGAACCCCTAGCTTGCGGAACCGGGAATCCCAAACACGGGGATCCCACCCAAGATCGTGTACATGATTGACTAAATGCGAAGTAGATGAATACAACTATAAATCAAATAAAGCAGACATAAAAAGCACACTATAACAATACACGATTTACGTTGTTCACCCTGCAGGGCTACATCCACGGCCTCGGCAACTAGAAATCTACTATTTGGATCACAAGAGATAACACCTATCTTTAAACATCGGTAAAAACCATCACCGATCTTCCCTTTTAAACCCACTCTCTCGATCGAGCAATAACGTCGATCAACATCCTCTTTCCCACCGCAATATCGCTACTGAAAAGATAACCTCGAGAGCAATATAGAGATTTTATCTATCTGGAAGTGGAAGTTAACCAACCCAAAACTCATGGGAATACCGTCCCTCTTTCAGAGGCCATGTCTCTCTCTCTCTCGGTGTTTCAAAAAGTGGACCGTCCAGTACTTGGGCGGCCGCCTAGGTGGTCCAGAAGGCCTAGCGGCATCGCCCAGGCCTAGGCGGCCAAACTAGGCGAGTATCCTCGGGCGCCCGGGAACCTGCCTAAGTGGGCCGCCTGGGCGGCTGCCCAGGGCCTGGGCCCCGGCCAGGGGCAGAAATGGCGCTCGTTGAGGCCATTTTTTTGTCATTTTAGGTCTTTTTTTTAATACCAAAGGAGCAAAATTGTGGGTTTTAGGTTTCAAATTAACCTAAAACCCATTAGAGACTATTATAGAGAGAGAAAAACCCAATTTTTTTTTTTTTTACTGGACCGCCTATGTTCTAAGCACCCCGCCTGGGCACCTGCCTAGACGTTGGGCGGCTTGGACCCCCCCGACCGCCTAGGTGCCGCCTAGCGCTTTTTGAAACACTGCTCTTGGATATTTATTGATTTCTTCTCACTTGCCTCCATTGTGGAATTTTCACAAACATTTTTCCTTCATATTTCTCCACTTCAAACTATGTATCAATCAAACTCCACCATTCATCATTTTCTTAATGCAAGCCTTAGCCCCGTACACACCTTGTGCTCTGATACCAATTGTAGGGTTCTTGTGAACCCCTAGCTTTCGGAACTGGGAATCCCAAACACGGGGATCCCACCCAAGATTGTGTACATAATTGACTAAATGCGAAGTAGATGAATACAACTATAAATCAACTAAAGCATACATAAAAAACACACCACAACAATATACGATTTACGTTGTTCACCCCGTAGGGCTACATCCACGGCCTCGACAATGAGAAATCCACTATTTGGGTTACAAGAGATAATACCTATCTCTAAACATCGGTAAAAACCATCACTGATCTTCCCTTCTAAACCCGCTCTCCTGATCGAGCAATACCGTTGATCAATATCCTCTTTCCCACCGCAATACCTTTACTGGAAAGATAACCTCGAGAGGAATATAGAGATTAGTGCTTGGGCGGGCTGCCTAGGCGGTACAGAAGGCCTGGCCGCATCGCCTAGGCCTAGGCGGCCAAATTAGGTGGGTATCCTCGGACGCCCCGGAACCCACCTAGGCGGTTGCCCAGGGCCTGCGCCCCAGCCGGGAACGGAAATGCCGCTCGTTGAGTCCATGTCTTTCTCTCTTGGAGACTCATCTCCATATTGGTGTGACTCTCAAATGATGGGTATTATGTCCTCTTTCACTCTCTTATAAAGATATCACTTTTTTTCTTCCCAAGAAAGTCCATTTTCTATTTCGATAATACCCTTAATTGTTAGAAGAAAACATGGGTGTAGTGATTTGGCTATCACCAAACCTAACACGTCCTATAACAAGTGCTTTGGGCACCTTTGCAACTGTAAACGCTTCTCCCAAAATGTAACTCGAGTGCTTTCTTATTGATTGGTTCCAAATATGCATCCTTATTTCTAATTCTAGGTCTTGCTTATTGTATGTTGCGATGAGGTTTCAGACACTCGCTCCCTGACCCCCCTACCTTACCTTACCGGAGGGCGATAGAGTGCGGGATCGTGACCAGAGGTCGCGAATGTCACTCAGGTAGGAGTGGCTCAACGCGTTTAGGAATGCGGAATCAAAGCAAAACCACGAAAAAAATAAAAACTCATTCATCAAGCATCATAAAACTGCACAAATTAAAACCATTATGTACATATACAATCTTCAAAGGTTCTTTACAATTATGTCCAAGGCACTACCAGCCTGACAACAAAATTTCAATATCAAAACAATATTGTGGCACCGCCACCTGACACCTCCTATCAAAAAGTTCCTTGTCAGATCTTGAACCTCAACTACCTGCTACCACTGTCCGCTGCCCCCTCAAGAATGGTCGGTTGTCACTTTACACAGATGGAAAAATAAGAAGAATGAGCTAAAAGCCCAATAAGTAGATCTGTGCGCTTGCATTCCCACCTACATGCACACATATAAGATAATGTGTCCTACAGATCATCACAGTTCATGCAAATCACAGAGTAAAGTTATGCATCACAATTCATTAGCAGTGTAAAACAGGGTATGACTCATATATCAAGGCAGTACATATTGTATGAGCTAACAATTATTTCACCTCTTATCACAGTAACATGTCAGTATCCAGAAAGAACACACAAAGCACACAGGCAAAGTCTAGAGTTGTCTACTCCCGAAGTAAAAGTCACATCGATTAGGCTAAGCCAATCCTGTAACTTGGAACTTCTACCCTCACTTAGGAGAGAGGTCAACGACAAATGGACACCCCATTTCGTAATGTCCTCACTCTCACACACACAATCCTCAGTGCGCTTAGGGGTTTTCGATAGGCGGTGGCCTTGCAAGACGCGACCCTCTCTTTATGCCTTCAGGCGAGAGGGCGTTACACTACCATTGGAGGACCCAATGTATAGTGCTCATAACAATATAGGGGGCGCGACCCTCCCTGTTATTTACAGTTACCTCCCGACTCTATTCCTATCATTGGAGTCAAGGCACAGTCTATCCAACTACAAATGCAGGACCTATTGCGTAGTGGTCATGTCACATATATCAATCTCAATATAACAGAATCACAATATCCAACTACCAATGGATGACCCATTGCGTAGTGGTTAGTATCACATATATCAGTCTCAATATAACAGAATCACAATATCCAACTACCAATGGAGGACCCATTTCGCAGTGGTCATGTCACATATATCCTCAATATAACAGAATCACAATATCCAACTATCAATGGAGGACCCACTGTGTAGTGGTCATGTTACATATATCAATCTCAATATAACAAAATCACAATATTCAACTACCAATGGAGGACCCATTGCGTAGTGGTTATGTCACATATATCAATTGCAATATAACAAAATCACAATATCCAACTACCAATGGAGGACCCATTGCATAGATATCATGTTACATATATCGGTCTCAATATAACAGAATCACAATATCAAACTACCAATGGAGGACCCATTGTGTAGTGGTCATGTCACATTTAATTGCACTGTGTACATGCATGCCCAAGCATTCATTTGCTCATGCTTTACTATTTTCAAGGGTTCAGAGATATTCATAGTATCATAAGCATGCATTTTCAGTATCTTATAACAGATAATTTCAATCTCCTTATGAAGAAATCAAGCTATATTAAAAAATAGCAGAACATAATGTGTGTACGATTTGCATAACAGTTTGGGATTCATTGTCATTCCCATCGGTAATAGAGACATAGCATTCAATTCCTGAGGGATTTCAACTCAGTTTCAATTATCAACTTGATATGGTTATGTATATCCTTTAATCAAAGAGAAAATCGAAGCTGTTTAAGCATCACTTGGTCAATAAGAGTTCAGTGTACAGTTCTGAAATTCTGAAATAAACTGCTAACAGTGACATGCTTTTATAAGTTAAACCGTAGCTTCCCATTTATAAGGAATTTGAACAGAGCTTAAACATGAAAATCATAGTAGACACATGTATCTATCAAATGGCGGTGATTTGAAAGCATTTGGGCTCCAATTGGTCAGTCAACGCTCATGGGAACAGAGATGAAATTTCTGAATTCTGCTAAATTTGGTTAATAGTGGACCTACCTGTCTTAACAGAAACATAACTTTCAATCTAGAGAGAATTTCGAGGTGACTTCAACATGAAAGTTTAAGTAGACATATCTTTCAAATGGCAATGGTTTTAAAGCATTTGGACTCCATTTGATTAGTCAAAAGCTCGTAACAACGGAGTCAAGAGTTCTGAATTTTGTGAAATCTGCTAACAGTGACATGCTTTTACAATTTGAAGCATAATTCCTTGTTATAAAGAATTTGAACAAATTTTAAACATAAAAATCATAGTAGACACATGTATCTTTCAAATTGGGGTGATTTGGAGTCATTTGAATGTCATTTGCTTAGTGAAAAGTATATTGCAAAAACATGAAACCTCCCTGGAATTTCACAGTGTGGTCACAACATGACGCAAAGATTAGTCAATAATCCCCCAAATCATGCTAGATTTCAGTATAAACCTTTTTACATCATACATTAGATGCATAAGAACATCCTCCCACAAATTCTCATGGCAATGAAGAAGGATTACAATGGTCATTTTGACATTCAATGATAGGCTAAATTTCTGGAAAACATGACATAACAGGGTACACATGCAGCCATTGTGTATGCATATGCTCATCCTCAACTTCATGCTTGATTCATGCTTTCATGACTAAGGACCTACAAGGTAGTTACCCACTTACTTTGTGTTTGTAATGGTGCTTTCACAATCCCTCAAACAGTCCATCTCCTCTTCACTCTAAGTTCTCCCACAAGGGTCAAAGGGGGCTGGAGTTTGGTGTTTCAAGAGGGTAGGATGGGTTCAAAACGTGAAGCAAAAGGGAGAGAAGGGGCTTTTGTACTCTCTCACATGGGAGGTGGCATCCTAGGCTTGCCAAGTGGCAACCTTAGTGTCATGCAACTTGACAAGTAGCAGGGTGGCAGCATGCAGCAGGCAAGTGGCAACCATGGGCCATGCACAGGCTCAGCGGCATCGTGCACGGCGACACTCTTTTCTGCTTCTTCTCACTTCCGTGAGCGTCCCTCTCTTCTTCTTTCTCTTATTGCCGGGTGCACTCCGTCGTGCGCACTCTCTCTTATCTTATTTCTCTTATCGTTGCGCACACTCCGCCCGTGCACTCTCTCTTCTTTCTCTTACCGCCGCGCACTCTCTCTTCTTCTTTCTCTCTTATCGCCGCGCGCACTCTATCTGATCGGGAAAGTCTGGGTCGTTACACTCTGCTTGCCACAATAACCACGTATATAATTCTTCTTAGTTTGTAACATTGATGTTTATGTTCTTTAACCAAGAAGATTTTATTGCTAGACTTGATCAATTGTTTTATCATAAAGAATGACATTGAAAGCTTTTAAGCTTCTTTCAAGCTATATACAAACTATTAAAGCTGTTATTAAACTGAGAAATTCATGTTTCTTTACTTTGTTATATTAATATGGAAAGTATCTTTGAGAACAATCCACATATTTAGGCGAACATCTTGTAGTCTCTCACTGATAGGAATTTATACTTGCAGATGCTTGAATTGACCTCTTACTTTTTCAGTTACTTCGTACAACTGGTGTAAGCAGTATACCTGCATGGTATGAAGCAGGGGCAATAAAGTTTGAGTTTGCAAGCACACGGTCACTTTTTATTGTTCAACTTATTCTAATGGGGTAATGTTTCTTCTAAGATCTTGACCAGGATTACATGTTATAACTCTTTCCACATTTATTCCCACTTTCCTGCTTCAAATGTAATTCATTAGAAAAACTTTATGGATGTTTTACCAATTAAACATGACTACATTAGATTATTTCTCTAGTTTGCCTTAGGGGTAATAGTTCTAGGACACTAACTTCCAAAATGCCATTGTATTTTTGTAAAAATTTCAAATTTGCCCTTGCTTAATGGTAAAGCTACCTATTTAAATAATTTTTTAATAAAAAAGTAATCATTGTTTTGAAAAATACACCCATCACAACCCCTTCTAACTTGAACCTTTGTATTTTGAGGGGTTGTTAACTCTAGACAAACCCATATATATATATGAGATTGTTTACAAAAAGACCATTTACCTTTTGTTCAAAGAGCTCACAATCATTCTTGTCCCTTAGATTTCAAATTGGGTAGTTGTAAGAGTGTAATTGATTAGACACAAAGTTCCAAAAAAAAAAAATTCTTGGATCTCATGACTCACCCTAAGGCATCCAATTTGATATCTAATGTGTGGGAATAGTTGTGACCTCCTTGTACAAAAGGTAAATGGTCTCTTTGTAGACAATCCTTATATATATATATATATATATATATATATATATATATATAAAAGATCACATTGGAAGATGAATCCCACAACACTTGGCATAAATGCATCTGAGTCCTATTTTTCCCATTAAAATGACTTGTAACACTGTCAAACTCATTTTTGATGCATAATGAACAGCTGTTAATGAAACACAGCCCCAAAACTTTATTTGTAGAGTGCCCTTGTTCTTTAATTAAGATTTCAATTTTACCCCTTATGGAGATGACAAAAGTGCCCTTTGTCTTGTAGTAATATTTACAAAATTGCCCCACAAAGTAATTTTTTTAAAAAAATAGACTATAAAATTAATAAATCGACCCTTCACAACTCTCTCTATCTTGAACCTTTGTAATTTGAAGGGTTGTGAAGTTTAGATTATCCCTATATATATATTTATTTTATTTTTTGTTTTTATTTATTTTTTTATTTTTTTTGGGTTCTGGCCAATTGTATTGTTAACAAGAAATTCAATGTCTATCGAAAAGATGAATTAATGTTGGAGCATCTTCTTGAATTTGGTATGTTCCTTGTCAAAGTTGTGGCCCCAAAGATTTCATACTTCTACTGGATGGGTGCTGAACAACCCTCGCCTTTCCTATTTGTTCATGTTCAGAATGATGGTATATTTTCAGCATGAGGGGGTTTTGAGATATTTCAAGTTTCTTTGAAAGCACTTGAAAAGTTTTGGGAAAAAGTGAAGAATCACAAAATAACTAGAAAGGAGCAACTCTCGCAATTTGGAAACAAAGACATTAACTAAATGTGCTTGACAAACTGAAAATTGAAAGTAAAGATAAATTGGAGCAATATGAAAGGAGGAAGAGCTTACCACATGAGCACATGCTGTGAGGAAATGATTGCCAAATAGGGCATTTGTAGGGGAAAACGTAAAACATATATCCCAATTTTCTTTACAGGCAAAGTAGATAACTTGTATTGGCCTTCGGTATAGCCTGATCCCCATTTTGCAATTAATTGGCAAAATTCGTTGAGCTTTAAGCCTCTTTTTATGATGACAAACAATTGAAAGGATCTTATAAGAACTAATATAACTTTAGGGGTTTAGGTTTCTAGTCTAGGGGATTATGATGGACAATTTAAAACTGAATTGACTGAATTCTAGGAGATGCTCAAACGTTACTCCATCGTGTCAATGGACACTAATTTTGGGGGGCCCTTTCACACTCTATGCAATAGATTGGACCTTGAATATGATTCCATCTGCAAGAACAGGACTAAAGCACAACTAATTCAGTTAGGATTTTCTATATCTGAGATCGAACGCTGCAAACATCGGAAATAACTTGTTGGAATTTCAACCTTGGTGGTTCTGAGCGTGAGTCTGACACGTGAAATGAGACACACATAGGTCATTTTGTGTTGATGTTGGTATCTTTGCTGGTGTTTTGAACTAGAGACCTCACTTTCTTTTACGTTGCCCAACATTTTCAGGACACTTTCATTAAAAATTGTATCAATGTTAGCAGTGGTTTGTCATGGCTCTCATAATATTGCATATGCTTAGGAAATTCCTTTTAGATAGTCCCAAGTTACCAATCACTGTAGTTGTATTCCTCCAAGCATCCCGACCTACTTTCAGCATTTTGTCGATTTGCAATAACATACATGGGGAGCTTGCGGACATCATTGAATAACTCAAAATGCCACAGGATGGCATGCACCACCTAGGGGGAATAGATACATTGCTGATTTGCATGTGTATCTAGATTATCTCAATGCAAAACTACCTTTACTAGAATAGGCTTAGGCTTGAGCTATTACATCTCTGAACCTTGGGGCATACTTGTATCTTTTAATTTCACACAGACACAAACGCTAAAGGGGTATGATAGTCCTAGAATTCCCTTAAATTCTGTACAAATATAAGAATTTTGTGGGGTAGATGTTGGGGTTTTGTGGCCATTTAAAGGCCTTATGAGAGCATATAAAACTATGACTATCGTGATATGACGACTCTAGTGGGAATAGAGTCCAGTGGGACCGATGGGGCATGATTTAAGATGTGACTGACCCGGGCTTGATGGGCTAGGCTTGGAATGTAGTTAAAAACCCTGTAGCCCTGGTTATAAGGCACAACCATGGAGGGCTTGTAGGGTTCTCCCTCGATGAGGTCAAAGAGATGCTCAAAATGGTTTGTTGGACAGTGGACTTCGCAATCCTTGTTTGTGATTGGCGAGCCTGAGAGGGTAAAGGGCCAAATCCTCATCTGCCATTGCATAACATGTACACATGATAGCCATGTTTGGAAAGCGACCCATAGGGAGTATGACGTATACATGTATGGAAGAGAGGTCCCCATGCACCATTGCGATCGTGTACACATGTCCAGTGGGACATGACTTGTCCTCAGCGGGAAACTTGTAATCCATATACTATATCCATGTTCTCTTCATTTATTGGCCAACTTTAATGCACCAATTATGAAACCCCTGCAATGAGTTGTGTGGGTAATGGGTTTCATTGAGTTGGCTTGAGAAGTTGACTGTAGTTCATGATATCTGGTATAAGTGGAGTGACGCAGTTAATTCGCATGAACCCGATGGATCCAATTATATTTAATTCTATTTTGTTTGAATTATGAGACATTGAAATGTATTTTTAAAATGCTCCACATGTTTTATTTTCTCAAAATAAATTTTTTCTTAGCTAAAAATTGATTTTTTCATGTTTTATGAATGTAGAGCTATTACAAAAATATTAAATACTATTTAAAAATTATTATAGGAGTTCTAAAATTTCTTTGGGGGCATGGAGGCCCTTTTGGAGTAGGGCCCACCACGAGGGAGGCGCACCTTGGTGGGGTCCCACATACCTTCCATGCCCTACCTCTGCTTCGTCTCTCTCTGTGATTGACTTGTTGACCAAGGTTTCTAGAAAGAGACCAAAGATTTAGAAGATATTTTGATTGAGAGGGAGAAAGGTTTGCTTGAAGTGATTTTATGGCTAGTTGTTCCATATCTTGAGTTTTTATGGTATGTCTATTATATTTTCAATGGGAATGGATCAAGGAACTTGATGGATAACGGTTCCAAAACCTTTCTTTTACTCATGATGGCTGATTTAGGGAGTGGATGGCTGAGATTGAAAGTCTTTTCACCCCACACATCTCCTTAGGTCAACAGTCAGATTAAGTCTCATTATGATGGAAAACCCTAGACCCCATAGACCTTAATTTGCATCTATAAATCCCCCTCTGGAGGTGTACTCAATAAACACATTCTAGACTTCTTTCTCTCCTCCCCGCTACCCCCCACCCCCCAGGCTCTATGGTACTCTCTCTCTTCTCGCTCTATTCCCTTCTCTCTATCCTAGTCACAAAGGGTGCCACGCCCCAAGCAAGATACAAGGGGTAGCACGACCAAGGTAGTAGGCCTAGGTTAAGAGAATTATCCCTCACGACCAAGGTAGTTGGCTTAAGTTAAGAGAGTTATCCTTATCCTATGAGTTTGTGATTTCAACCTTGTTCATGCTCTCATACTAGAATTAGGGCTTTGCCTTGGCTTCCATGTTTCTTGATTCACTCTTGTACGTTGTGTCTTGATCCCTTGGGAATAGTAGTATAATTATTGCTTCCTTTCTTGATTCACTGTTGTACGTTGTGTCTTGATCCCTTTTAAATGGTACTTTTCTTTTTTATGGCATGCAAGTGAGAATCCTAGATTGTATTAGGGTTTTGTTTCTGATTTTGAGGTATAATTGGACACTCGTAGTGTCCTAGCTAGTATAAATAAAAGAAATGATGAAAAATTTCAAACAGAATATACTTGGCTAGATCACAACGTCCATCTTTCAGTTCAATACATATGGTTTGATTACAGTTACAATCACATGAGGACGAGATGCTAATGAAACCATTCCTCAGATAAATTGCTCCATCAAACCTGTCTTAGAAAATTGGATAGCAAATTTTAGCACACATATGGTGAACTTGGCAGTTAGATCAGTTTGAACTGTACAGGTGTCTTCACCAATTTATTCGTTGATCCGGTCCTGATAACATTGGCTGGTGTGGTGTACAGTTGAATTCAATTAATAAAACAAACCCTCAAGATGTTCTATAATTCTATTGTACCCACTAAAAAGAGAACTCCATACTGATGAGAGTGTGTACAAAGGATTGTAACAGTTATTTCAACCTTGGAAGGGCTATATTTTTTTACTTACCATTAATAAGCACCATCTCCTTCCATACATATTTCTGTCTCTTTTAACAAGTTGTTTTCTCAAGCATGGTTAGCAAGGGAATGTGATCCTTCACCTGTTTTGGGCACTAATAACTCTAGTTTCTTACCTTGGATGTTTTGTTATGGTTGAAAGCACCTTATGCTCCATTATCTAGGTTCCCTTTGGTTCAATTATTCTTTCTTTTTCTCTGTTTCATCCTACCTTTAGACTTCTCATTCATTTCTGTGGAAAGATGGAGGGATCATAATAATTTCATCAGCCTAAAATATTATCTCTGGGGATTAAATTCATTTTGGGATTATTTCCAGTGTTGGGTCCAGTTCCTAAATCTTCAAGGCAAAAGGGCAGGAGTAAAATTCCTGAAACCTACCCTTGCTTTTAAAAAGGAGACAAGGCCCTATGCCCATTTTTACAATCAAGAGAAAAAAGGGACTTTGCTAATGGTTAGCGTCTTTACTGCAAATGAACAAAATTGTTAGCTGCTTCTGCTGTAATTAGCATTGTTGATGTGTAGGATAGTCAATTCAGTGTTGGCAACTTGAACTAAGTGCTTATGGTAGCAATGCTAAAGAAGTAGACTTAAATAAGAATCTCAATAGTGTTCACTAGACGATCTTTTTGATTCCTAGGGAACCATGTGATATCACAAAAGGTCCATATTTTGGTTTCCTTGCTTTGTTGAGTTACTGTTGTATGTGATGAGAATACCATTTATTGTCATAGAGCTGGAAGCACTCAGCAAGGGGTTAACTCCGTATCTCTCATGTAAGCAATTGCGACAGTGAAGATTGAAGTTGTCTATTTTTAGATGGCAGGTGGAGTTCTAGTTTGCAATCCTCGAATATAGGTTACACTTTTGTTGGTATTCTTTTTTAGAGGTATGAAAAAGTGAATCAATGAATCTCTTCTTAGATGAATGTGATGAATTGTTTGCCAAGCAAGCGACAAAACTTCTTTATTTTGTTATTATACCATTTGAGCATTGGAGAGTGCCTCTCAGTTTTTGCAATAAAACTGATGATTTTTATTGCGCTTCTCTTTAGCCTTAAAAATTGACATTTAATGTTGGTCTTCTCTCTTTCGCTCTTTTTACAGGTTTGTGGAGACCAAAAGATACATGGATTTCATTAATCCTGGATCTCAAGCTAAAGAGGGGACGTTCTTTGGATTGGAGGCTTCTCTTGAAGGCCTTGAACCAGGGTAAGTCTTCTCAGAATTCCCCAAAAAGAAACTTTTTGCTAATTGCGGCAGCTCCTTCCCCTTATTTTCCTTCATTTCTCTACTTTATATATTCAAACTCAGGATAGGGGAACCTGCGGGCTTAGGTGAATGCTTTTCAATCCCAGTTTCTTGTGAAGTTTAAAGATTATATTTTGATTGAACTCCCATATTTTTTTGGCAGCTACCCTGGTGGCCCCTTGCTAAACCCACTGGGTTTGGCTAAAGATATTCACCTTGCTCATGACTGGAAACTCAAAGAAATAAAGAATGGTTTGTGCTTAAAAAATGTCCTTTTCTTTGATATTCGGATTGCATTAGAGGCTTTCGAGTAATTGGCTCTTTCATGTGCTGTAGGTCGTCTTGCCATGGTAGCCATGATCGGCATCTTTGTGCAGGCTTCCGTGACACACACTGGTCCAGTTGACAATCTTATAAAACATCTTTCCAATCCTTGGCATACAACTGTCATTCAGACCCTTGGATTGGGATCTTGATTAGACAGGAATGAGATTGGGATTTTCCTTGTATATAAGCATTTTTTATTGTTTGTAATGGATGAAGATTCATTTTAAAATGTTTGTTTCATGTATTCTTGGCATATTGAGGCTAAACAAACGAATCACTTCTTATGGCCATGGGTATGTCATGGGCCCAAGAAAAATAAAAATAATATTTCAAACAAAAAATGAAAGGGCTCTTTGGCTGGACTGACTGTTCACAACATTTGTAGTTGGGATATAAGTACAGGGTGCGGTTGTACAACTTAAACAATCAAAGTACTTCCCCCAAAAAAAAAACCATCAAGGTAAGGTGCGCCTCCAAACTTTGTTATAAAGTGCAATTTTGGTGTAAAAATTCTGCGATAATCTTTTTTCACCTCTAATTATAAAATTTTGAACTTCAAATATGGTTGAAATCAAGCAGATTTGTAATCGTGTGAAGATCTTAAAAATGGAGCGTCCAAATAATGTATTACAAGTTATATTAGTTCTTCCCTCCCTCCCACTACATCCGTACATTTCAAAGCCAAGATGGTCAATGAAAAAGTTTTCTAGCATCAAAATAACTTTTTCTAGTGAATTTAAAAGGAGAACTTTACTTTTACAATTTAAAGTGTCAACCTCATACAAAAATTGTCTATATATATATATATATATATATATA